CCTCAAATATTTTCTCGAGTCCTTTCTCTCTCTCTTCTCCTTCTGGGATCCCTATAATATGAATGTTGTTGCGTGTAATGTTGTCCCAGAAGTCTCTTAGGCTGTCTTCGTTTCTATTCATTCTTTTTTCTTTATTCTGTTCCGTGGCAGTGAATTCCACCATTCTGTCTTCCAGGTCACTTATCCGTTCTTCTTCCTCAGTTATTCTGCTATTGATTTCTTCTAGTGTATTTTTCATTTCAGTTATTGTTCATCTCTGTTTCTTTGTTCTTTAATTCTTCTAGATCTTTGTTTAACATTTCTTGCATCTTCTCTACCTTTGCCTCCATTCTTTTTCCGAGGTCTTGGATCATCTTCATTACAATTATTCTGAGTTATTTTTCTGGAAGGTTTCCTATATCCACTTCATTTAGTTTCTTTTCTGGGGTTTTATCTGGTTCCTTCATCTGGTACATAGCCCTCTGCCTTTTCATCTTGTCTATTTTTCTGTGAATGTGGTTTTTGTTCCACAGGCTGCAGGATTGTAGTTCTTCTTGCTTCTGCTGTCTGCCCTCTGGTGGATGAGGCTAAGAGGCTTGTGCAAGTTTCCTGATGTGCGGGACTGGTGGTGGGTAGAGCTGGCTGGTGCTTTGGTGGGCAGAGCTCAGTAAAACTTTAATCCACTTGTCTGCTGGTGGGTGGGGCTGGGTTCCCTCCCTGTTGGTTGTTTGGCCTGAGGCGACCCAGCACTGGTGCCTACCTGGGCTCTTTGGTTGGGCTAATGGTGGACTCTGGGATGGCTCATGCCAAGGAGTACTTCCCAGAACTTCTGGTGCCAGTGTCCTTGTCCTCATGGTGAGACACAGTCACCCCCTGCCTCTGCAGAAGACCCTCCAACACTAGCAGGTAGGTCTGGTTCAGTCTCCTATGGGGTCACTGCTCCTTCCCCTGATGTGCACACTACTTTGTGTGTGCCCTCCAAGAGTGGAGTCTCTGTTTCCCCCGTCCTGTCAAAGTCCTGCAATCAAATCCCAGTAGGCTTCAAAGTCTGATTCTCTAGGAATTCCTCCTCCGGTTGCCGGACCCCCAGATTGGGAAACCTGACGTGGGGCTCAGAACCTTCACTCCAGTGTGTGGACTTCTGTGGTATAAGTGTTCTCCAGTTGGTGAGTCACCCACACAGCAATTATGGGATTTGATTTTATTGTTTTTGCGCCCCTCCTACTGTCTCACTGTGGCTTCTCCTGTGTCTTTGGATGTGGGGTATCTTTTTTGGTGAGTTCCAGTGTCTTCCTGTCGATTATTGTGCAGCAGTTAGTTGTGATTCTGGTGTTCTTGCAAGAGAGAGTGAGAGCACATCCTTCTACTCTGCCATTTTGAACCAATCTCCCTTGCTATTATTCTGTATATGTAAACTCATGTAATCCTCACAGCACCTCTAATGATGTAGGTACTGGTACCCCCATTTCATAGATGAAGGGATTAGGGTGCAGAGAAATTAAGTGACCTGCACTGGCTGGAGGTGACTCAGTTAGTAAATAGCAGAGTTGGGATTAGGACATGGATTTATTCCCTACAAAGCCCAGTTTGTCAAATACTATGCTATTTATATAAAGCACAATAATATCCTACATAAAATTAACAACTCTTTTATACTGAGGCCCTTGTCCAGGAGGTTTTTGTAAAGAGGATGCTTTGTTCTTGTGTTTAGTACGTCTGCATCCTTATAACTTGAAGTCCACCAAACGCTTTTACATTCTGTACTCATGCTAGAGAATCTCAGAGAGGAAAAGGATGTTTATTCGTCACCAGATATTGTAGCTCTGAGGCACAAGAATTCTGGGAGAACAGGCCAAAACTGAAGATGAAGGAACAGTTTTCTTGTAGACACAGAGGTCCCTGAGGCTGTGATTTATTTGACATTTGTGAAGTGAAATTCAACAGGTTTTTTATGGCTGATTTGAAGCCCATGTCATACCATGTTTTATGGTTCCAAATGAACAAAGTAGAGAAAAGTTCCCCAAAGAAAACTGAACAGGTGTTTTGGGGGCTACAGGACATTTCTGTTATATGGTGAAGAATCTCCATTTGATGGTAAATCATTAAGTTGCCTCAGGTCATGGGTTGGAGTGTGCTTTAGTGGTTTCTAAAAGAAGCCTAGAATGCCTTTCCTTTCCACAAATATCCTTTTAGTAAAAATGTCCTTGACACTGAGGGCTTTGACTAACTCAGAAATTGCTCCTGTCAGCACTGCCAGAGGAGCCATGGCAAATGTGAGCAGAGGCCTGGACGGGCAGAGGCTGGTGGGTCCTCAGGCTCAAATACACCCAGATAGACAGAATATTGGTTTTCTGATGGTAATAATGATGGCACACAAATTTATGCTTTGGAAACTGTTAGTTCTCACTTCTTGAGAAGGTCATGGCCCTGGAGACACAGGGTAACTTGGGAGCTTTTGACAAGAAAATCTCTTGATATCCTAATTTATTAACCTATTGAGCTTGGGCTTGCCAAAGGGAACCTCCAAGTTCACCCCAATTCTCTAATTCCTGAACGGCTCTAGAGACAAGCCTAACTGTACACTAGTCTGAAGTAAGATCAGCAAAAGCAGGATGTGAACAACGTGTACATTCAAAGTCTTGTAATACATGCTTCCATATTAATTTTTTTAAAGTGGGTGCACATCAGTTATCTGGGTTTAAAACTCTGAACCACTGTGACTTCAGGCATGTATTACAGTTCCCTGCACATGGTATGAACTCAAGAAATATTTGTAGAAAAGATGCTGTTGAATGATTTATCATCTGGTCCTAATGAAATTCTGAAATAAAAGTTTCATAGATAATTTTTTTTGGTTAACATTTATCAGTTGTGTGCTTTGGAGATCCAGCATACCTGCCATTCAGACCCTATTGAAAATGTAATATCTCCTATCCATTAATTCATTCTAAAATATTTAATATGTATCTATAACATTCTGGGCACAATGAATCACCATTTAATTCCACTGTTATGAAACTCTGGAGAAAAGTAAGTAATGAATAGGATTCCATGCTTTTATTTGTATCTTATTCAAATACATCTTATGTTTCTAAGTGGTGCTAAAAGGTTGAAGGTGGATATGTTAAGACACGGCTAATTTAAAAAGTCTAATTTAAATTCCCATTTAAAGTGAATTAGCACTAAAGACTTAGCAATGCTACAAGTGGGTTGTTTTGTATTAGTCTTTAGATTGTGTGATTCATGCGGGATCTCAATCTTGGGGTCCTTTCCAGGTATCTCTATCTTTTGAAGATACTCTGAAGCAGTCTGGATTTAGGTAGGGTGACTATACAATTTACTGTCTCAACTGGGGCAACTTTGAGTGTGCTAATTACACCAGTGCAATAAGTATAAATGGGATTCTCTAAGGCAAATAGGGTCGTATATTCATCCTAGGAAAGGACATGGGTTGAAAGATCAGGAGCTGATACACACGGGCTGCCTTATCAAGTGCATGTCACGTCCCCTTTCTGGGTTTCAGTTTATCTGAATGAAAAGTAAAAGGGTTGTACTAAAACCAAAGCTACTGTTTCCTTCAAACTCCGCCACTTTATGCTTACAAACAGTCTCAAAGGAAAGAGTCTCATTATGTTTTTGAAACAGCTTCAAACTGAGAGACAGCTGGACAGACAAACACATAAAACCCTTCTCCTCTCCCCTTTTAAAAACCACACTGTTATAAAAGCTTACATCATAGTTGAAATAAATCAACACTTGCTTACTTTAGGGTTGGTAAACATTTCATCTTCAATACCTGAAGCATTGTGTTGAGAAGGATTCTGAGGCCACATCTGAGCTCAGCAGGAAAGAAACCAAAACAAACACACAAACAAAGACCCTTGATCCATTAGTGATGGTTTCTGGGGTCATGGGAACAGAAGAGAGAGGCAGGGAGGGTGGGAGGGGTTAGGGGCTGTGTGTGTGTGCCAGTCCTCTGCTATAACTGGCTTAAGGTCTCTGGTGCTAAAATACAAAACAAACAAACAAAAATCTCGTATGTAGGGTAAATCTGCTCCATATTGATATCTAACACTGTATTAGTCTCATCCAGAGATTTTTTTTTGTTGCGGTACGCGGGCCTCTCACTGTTGTGGCTTCTCCCGTTGCGGAGCACAGGCTCCGGACGCGCAGTCTCAGCGGCCATGGCTCGCGGGCCCAGCCGCTCCGCGGCATGTGGGATCCTCCCGGACCGGGGCACGAACCCGCGTCCCCTGCATCGGCAGGTGGACTCTCAACCACTGCGCCACCAGGGAAGCCCTCACCCAGAGATTTTTTTCTCCTCTTCCTTGTTCTCAGCGCCCTTTCATGAACACTCAAGTAGCAGAGTAGAAGTGATGGTCCTCAAACCTGGCTGCATGTTAGAATCACATAGGACCTCTGGGGATGGGGCCCAAGCTTTATTGGTTTTAACATCCTCCACAACCAGGGGATTTTACTGTCCAGCCAGGATGAAGAACCACTGGCATAGGGTCTGGAACGGGAGATGGGAGCCAGGACACCCAGCTCTCTTGTTCTTTATTAAGGCTGTGTGACCTTGGATATATTACTTAGATTATCCTAGTTTGTAAAATGAATTTGGACTCAGGCATTCTCTAGCTTTAACTTCTGTGACTAAAGCATGAGGAGGTGAAGAATAGCATGGTGTGTTAACTCAGACACTACAGATGTCCTTCTCTTTGTAAATTCAAGGAAAGCTGACTTCGTTGTCAAAGCGATAAATCTTACAGGAAATGATCGGGAAACAAATACACATCACTCTCCCATGCATGAAAAATCATAATTTCTTGAAAGAGGCAGCTAAGTTATGTAATATTGTTGATAGAATCCTTTGTCTAAGCTGTTCTTGCAAATGCTTTTTTTTTAAGTGCTAAAAATCCATGGACATAATTTACTACTTTCAACACATATTTTAATTGCTTGTACCTCTGACTTTAGCAGACTTCTCGGCATTCCCACTATTTAGTAATTTGACATCTTACCTGAGTGACAGCAACATTTGTCCCATCGGTGACTTCCACACTCATATTATAGATGGACCTCTGCTCTGCATCCAAAGGTTTTGCAATGACAATGGTCCCAACGCCCTTCTCTGCGTCAAAAGAGCTGTCAAAATTGCCCCCTGACGAGTTCACAAAAACAACAGGAAATTAGCATATCTGAAAAGTTATTACACATATTGAAGCATACAGCTTTAAAGGGACATCTTATATAGAAACGTTTTTTGACAGGCATCCCTATTGCTCAATTTTGTACATCTTAAATGGGACCCTTTGTTTTTTAACTTAATTCATATTTCAAAGCACAGCCTCTACAATGCATAACAAATATCACAAAAAAGAATGTATTGCAAAAATCCCCTCAGCACTAATGTTATAGCAGTGAAGCATAAACTGACTCCAGAAAATATTTAGAAAGCCAAAGTCCCTTCAACCCCTTGTGGCTTCTGGGCTAGGAATTTGTAGATCCTTTGCTTTTCCAAAGTATTGATAGATTAAATTCTAGGTAAACAAACAGTCCAATTATTATTAACAAAAATGAGCAGACACTCTGAAATCCATTCCAGGATTGATGGTAAACATGTGGTTGGTAGAGTTCAGATTCCCTCAATTAGATGTCAGAAATAAAGTTATAAATATTAGAAAATAAGAAAAAGCAATAAAATTGAATTTCTTATTAAAAGTTCTCTCTCTGTAAGTTGGGATATTTATAGAAATATATTTTTGCCATCTTGACAGTGTGACTTAACTTCCTCCCCCCAAAATAGAAAGTTTATGGGAGATTTACAAAATGAAATCTGGAAAGAAGGAGATGAAAACATCAGCTATGGAACATCAACTGATAAAATAATCCATAGAAAAGTTTAGAAAACTTTACTTTTCTCCCCCTGAACTAGGTGTAATCCATAATCTGTAACTAATGTGCCTAAGACAGCATAGACTTTGTGGAAATTACTGTAGGTGTTTCCATCTCTGTGAACCAAAGTGTAGTTTATGATCTTTTTCAAAATGAAAGATTTTTAAGGGGAGAGAAGATATTGGTATAAGTGCTGGAACGATTTTAATTAAGTATCAGTATATGTTCACAAGCTCTATTTACTTTAGCCTGAAATTTCATCATGTCCACAAATTTTGTTCTTGGACAGTAATTTAACTACAGCACGTAGGGCAATGCATTTACTGAATTTCATATTTTAGAAAAGAAATCTTGGCTTCTCTTTTTTGCATTTAATTTTGATTATCAGTCAACAATATACAATTTCTATGATATTAGAATTAGAAATGGGCAGATGAGTTAAAGGAAAAGAGAATTTTACCTGAACTGCTGGAATCTGATGTATAATGACACGAAATAAATAATATGGTGTATTTAAAAAAAACCTGGTCATACATATGACCAGGTTTTTCAGATACTTATTGCGTGTAGCTGTCATATACACTTGAGATTATTTAATTGCTAAAGAGAACATAATTGCCCTTGACATTTAATTAAAGTTAAGGAGATATGGGTGTACCAGAGAATTGCTTGGAGATGTAGTTTTCAAAAATTTCATCTCAAAAAGAGACTCATCTTCCACTTAATATCTTTAATTGATTTACTGAGAAATACTAAATGTTAACTCTAAAACATGTCTTTTGAAGAACAGGATAAAGAGAAAGGGGAGGAAATCTAGGCTGAAAGGGAAGTAAGCCTTAGGTCACCATGCCTATTTCAAAGGGAATGTTTCATCTTGATAATCACATGAAATGAAATGTACGACTGATTCAAGTGTCTTGAATAACCCTCCTAATGAGCAAAGAAAAATCATTTGCTATCAAGTGGTATATTATGAAAAAAAAACCTCTGCCATGGAAACTTTCAAAGAAAAGACATACAATTGCCTCAGACTGTGTAGAAGGAAAGATGGGAAAGCAACTTCTCAAGCCATTTCTAGTGGGTATTAAATCATATTTTAAATCACATTTAAAATCATCTTTAGAATGTCTTCCTAACCAAGATTTTTACTTTCTTAAATTTGAGTACTATGATTTTTTGGGGGGGGGGAGTGGAGGAGGGTCAATTATTTTGGAAGGTGAAAATTTGTAGGTCAAAGTAAAATAGAAACTACACTAACTATAAGCCTTTAATTTGCTCCAGTTTGAAGACAAATAAAAATGAAATTTAGAGAACACACAAGCAAAGATTTCCAGTTTCAGTTACTGTTTCCATGGGGCAACTCTATTTCCTCTCCCTCACTGCCCTAGAGTCACATTTTCCTCGGGGCCTTCCCTATACAGAAATACATCATCGTTTCATGTGCTTAGTGGCATAAAATTTACATATTTTACATATGGCATATAGATTGTGCACCTTCTTATTAGTCATTTTTTGTATCAAAAAACATTTTTGGCTACGTTTATGGTGGTGTTTTTTAATTTTTATTTTATGTTGGAGTATAGTTGAGTAACAATGTTGTGTTAGTTTCAGGTGTACAGCAAAGTGATTCAGTTATACATATACATGTACCTATTCTTTTTCAAATTCTTTTCCCATTTAGGTTATTGGAGAACACTGGGCAGAGCACAGGGAACTCTCCTCAATATGGTAGTGATTTTTTACAGTTTTCTCTCCTCCTGCCTGCCTGTGTGTGTGTGTGTGTGCGTGTGTGTGTGTATCTCCCCCATTCACCTTTACTGTTTCAAATACTCTAGAACAGAAAAGTTGAAAGGGGCAGGGGAGATAGACAAAGAAAGCCTGGGAGTGTCTTTCCATCCATCAATAAGGCTAGCAGCCTCTGATACTCACTTCTAGGGCTTTAGCTCCTAGTTAAACCAAGATTTCATGTAAAACCAGGTTCCCCAAATCTTCCCTGAGTTTTAAAATGAATTTCTGACAAGGGATACAGAATCTGGACCAGCAGTTCACCATCAACCCTCCCGCAATTTCATAACCTACCACTTAAGCCTCCCATTTCATGAACGACTCCATCTCTCTCCCCCAGGCCTCAGTTTTCAGGCTCCCTTTTAGCCTGAAAGGTTATTTCATTTTGTAGGAACCCATGTCCAATTCATCTGGGGTGAGAATATTAAATGGAAGGAGTCTGCTTTCACTAGCAGCATTCTGTTTAAAGAAGATGTGCTTCCTCAGAGCCAGTAACAACATGCAAAGCCAGAGTGTGCTGGGGCAGCAGCGCTGGGCTAAACAAAGGGTGGGGAGGAGGGAGGACACTGCGGAGCTGGTCTGATTTCAACAAAGTGGGGAATTAAGAGAAGTCACAGCCTGAGCGTTGCTGCAGGGGTGTGAGGCAGAGATGGTTAAAAGCGAGGTTGTGAACAGCCCACATAACAGAGAATTCATGTCAGGGACATTTCTCTTTGACCATTTTCGGTCAAGACGGGTGTTAAGGAGTAAACAAAGAGCACGAGAGAGGCGTGTTGGATTTCTATTGGATTCTAAAGTTAAACATTGCAAGTCGGAGTGTCCCAAAAAGCTTTAAAAATGGGACAGGAATGAAACTACTTTGAGCCAGCAGCTACTGCTGGAATGTAGCGGGCAGCAGGGTGTTGGGCCATGATTTAGTTAAGCTTTTCTTTAAAGAATCACCATCTCTCTATAATGAGATCCAATGCTGACTATCTCACAGCTTTCCCTTTAGAGAAGCTTCCGGGCCTCTCCCCTAGCTATGATTCCAATCCACTCTACGTGCGATGGTAAAAATACCAACCAAAATCTAGTAGTCACCAGGGGAGACGAGCTATGGGAGAAGCTTCTAAAACACTGAGCCGCTGAATCTCAATGAATTACAGGAGTTGTTCGTAAGCTGTTCATTCAAGTTCAGCATGTACACCTAACTTAAGGAAAAATGCTAAACACCATTTCTATGGCTTGATCATGAATAATTTTCTGCCTTGGAATGAAGCAAGCACAGTACGGGCCTAAAACGGATATTTACATGGAAGGCAGGAGATGCAGGCTGGAGGTGGGAAACAGTGGTAGGAAGGAAAATCATGTCTGGAATCTGGTTTGAAATTCATTTTCTTACAAACGATAATATCCGAAGCTGTTTTAGGCTTTTTATTATTTTCCTAAAGTCTCTTCAGGTGTGTTCCTATGGACCACATTGTTGCTATGGAGAAAAGAGAGGCATGTTCGGGATCCAATTAGAAGAAATGATGTCAACTGATGACTCTGAGCAAGCGTCATCGTGATGGAGGAAGAGCTGTATTAAAAATGGGACACAGACATGGCTTCACTTGGGAGGGGTGTGGGGGAGTTTTGTGATAAAGAAATCTGGCCACGAGGTTAGAGAAGACCCAGAGAGATGAAGTGCTAGTCAGGGTACCATCAAAGACTTTACCTTGCCTATTTGATGGAACCCTATTAAGGGATGGCTCCATTAGGGACAAGGTTGTCTAAGGACAGGTATAAGCTTATGAGACAGAAGCAAGAACCCAAATTCCGCAGGAACCTATGACAAACTAAGGGCCCAGGCAGTCCTTCTGAACCTGCAACACAGAAACGTATTTCTGCTAGAGCTGGACCCATGTGTTCCCTTGTACCATCAGAGGATTATTTTCAAAGAACAGCCTTTCTGTCCTCTACATATTGGGTGAGGCAAATGAACAGAGATATTTTAAGTGCTTACTGTCTACAAGGAAAACAGTTTTTCTAGTCTAAGTCAGGGGAAAAGCTAGAAAAGTGGGTGGTAGCCTCCCCCATCAAACTGGAGGTAAAGAGGAATGGTTTCAAGTGTGTAATAACGGTGATCTTTACAATACAAATATTTGCCCGTGGGATAAGGATACAGGGACCAGATTGCACGCACATTAGAGAGTACGTAAATCAAGATGCTGCTGAGTTGAAATCATAGTCTCCTGAGAAGTGTGAAGATATGTGATAAAGCCACAAAGGATTGTGGGTTAGTTTTGTTCCCTTCATTTTCTTTCCCTTTTAACACAGGGAAGGAACATGCTGTGCAATGGGCTGTTTAACCACAGAACAGCTGAACTTTATAATGTTTCCTTTTAATTATAGCTTTCTTAACTCGGTTACAAGTGGGCTTCTGTTTCTGGAAGCTGAGGAGAGTCCAGCTCTGTAACATTGTAAGCAGTGGTCTCTTTGGAGGCACAAGAAAGTATCTGGCAGGTCCTTGTTGGCGGGGTCTGGACTTGGGAACGAAATCTTGCTCTCGACATGGTTTTTGTGAATTCATATCACGGTGGGAGGAAAAGAAATGCAGTTAAACAAGATTCGGGCAGATTTCAAAATATGGAAATGAGGATACAATACTCTCAGGGGAAAAGGCATGCTGGAACACTATTTCTGCTGATTTAATGAGAATTCATTAGTTATAGCATTTGTAAGCTATAACTGTTAGGCCGGGAGGTGGTATTGTCTGTAACCATAAGCGTCTGTATAGGTATCTATCCAGCTATAGTACACTGCTATGTTTCTTAAGTACTGAGAATCACTTTCCCTCTCTCTCCTCTATGTTAGCCTGGCCAGGGAAGATGTTTAGCTAAGGAGGAAGGGAAGAGACAGCAGAGAGTTTCAGTGGCCAAGGAGAAACAAGCAAGAAAGCTTGAAAGTAAGAATGAAACATCTGAATATGATAAAGGAAACAATAGGTTTTTAGAGAAGGGGAAAGGTGTTGTCAGCAGGTTGAAAAAAATATGACTCTCTTAGATCAGAAAGGATTTTCAGGAGGGGGATTTTCTGGAAGGAGGACCATATCCATTCTGAGCGCAGCCAGCACCCGGGGAAAAGTTTGTAGTTTTGCCGTGAAATAAAGAGTTGACATTTTAATATGTTGGCTGGATGCGGGGATGGAAATAAAATCACGTTCTGTTTGAGCATCTGGCCCAGTAAGTTCAATTTTCAGGAGAAGCTTGACTAGATGTTACGAGATATACAGTGACATCTGTGATGGAAGTATCTACACTAGAGGAACAACCCGGTAGGTCTTCATTAAGAGAAGTACTTGTGTACTAAAACTGAGAGGATTCTATAAAAAGAGTATAGATTTAGGAATAAAGATGGCGAAACATGAAAACGGATGCCATGTTTTTGATCATGATTCCTGGATATGGATTTGAAGCAGCCTAAAGGGACTCCTTCCAGTGAGGACTTTCATCTGTCAGCTGCCCGTCTCTTCTTGGACCAGTCCTCATTTGGTCAAAGGTGCTGTGTTGCTCAGGCTGGGAATACAGTGGAAGGTCACACTGACTCTGGATGGGTCTCAGGAGGCATCAGTAATGTTAACACATGGGCTGCCTGGGGCATCTCCATCGGTCACCATTGTTTATTCCACTCACCGTGGATGGACATCAAAAGAAGCATTGGCAGAAGGAAGGAATCAGGAGGAAAAGACCTTGACCTTAAGGGTTAACATTGAAGCTAAGATAAACACAAATGAAAATGTACACTAGCACTAATAATTCTGGCATGGAATTCATGCAAGTAAGGTTACATGTAGCACCACTAGGCATGCTTACCTATACACACCATACACACACATGCAGGGATGCTGAGGAATTGCAAAAGTGACTGGATAACTGGGGTCAGGTGGTTGGTCAGACTGAGCATCAGCAAAAGCTGTGCTTGCAAGATTTCTGACAAGAAGTGCAAACAAGGGCATCCTGGGGTGGGTGGGATGTGCTGCACGTCAGGAGGTTGCATGCATGCATCACACAGGGAGAGAAGCAGTGCTGTCAGGCTGTAGAGGTGCTTGCAAACTGGAGCATCAGGGGAGGAGGGAGATGAAATGGTGGCTGATGGCAGAGGGCAACTCCTCTCACATCTCAGGACAGCATGGCAGGAGCCCTGCAGCCTGTTGGCTTTCCACTGTACTCTTCCTCAAGGTATTTAAAAGAAGTCATGATTGCACCAGGGACACATTGAGACTGAGATGCATCTTCTGTGACTGACTGAGGGTGGTTCTGAAGGAATCACCAAAGGTGACAGCACAGACAACCAGACGATGCATAGGTGTGACCCTCTGTTTCACAAAGAAAGAAGACACCGCATTGGATAATAACTTAATGACCTGAAAATGACTGAGAAGATACAGAAGCGGAGACATCTTTAATGGATCAGAAGAGGTTCCATTTCAAATGCGTTAAGTGGAAATGAAGACGGAGTTGAAAGCTTGGGAATGAGGATGGTCATGTACAGGGATGGTGTGATTAATGCCCATTAAGTAAAACACAGATGTTCTACTGGCATTCCATAAAATGAAATAGGCAGAAAACAAGTCCTTTCTTTTGGGGAGTTCAGAGGACCCTCTACTGAAGTTTGATTGGGGGCCATGGGGCGTTCTTTTTCTGTGCTTCATTGAAACAGATGTGGAATGTTCTAAATGCTTTCCCCAGACCCAGCCATTCCTGGGAAGAGAGGCAGGTTCCTACCCATCCTATCCAAGCAGTGACATGTGGAAGGAAATGATTCCCCCAGACCAGCTCTCTAGATTCGCTGCCTTGCACGGAGAACCGTGGGAAGTCAGCTCCAGTTCGACGCAGTGTCAGACCCAGGGCCGACGCACACTCTCTCCCCTCGTTTTGTTTCCTGGCCCTCAGCACTTATTTCCTCTCCACTGCCTCTCGCTGCCTGGTTGTGGAGGGCAGTGGTGCTGTTTTGCCCTCTCTTTTTGTAGCCTTGCGTGCTTGCTTGCTTTCTTTCAAGGAATTTAAAGGTTGGCTTCCAAGGTCTATCCTGCCTGCATCCATCTGCTTTCTGTATTCGGTTCTCACGGGAAGCTCTCCCTGGCTATATATCTAGGCTGCATTTCCTGCTCTTCCTATTGTGGACAGCAGCCAGGGACTCTCCTGGTGGGGCCTTCTGGTCTACGAATGGCACTCCTGCTGCAAAACCGAGGGGTTGGGAGCTACTTGAATTTAATTTTCAATTGGAAAAGGCCCAGTTAAACCAACCTACAAAAAGATCAAAACAAAACAACAAAAAGCCCACATACCTCAAAACCAAAGAACAAAAAATTTTTTTAAGAAACCAAAACAACCTCCCACCCCTGCCCCAAATCCAAACCCATCAAACCTCAAACAAAGGAGTCACTGGATACGAGTAATGCAATAGCTGTTAGAGGCATGTATGAAATTTGTGGGCTGCACTTCAGCCTGTCACAGGCAGTTATGAAAGATGTAATTTAATTTGCTTAAAAAAAAAAAACCCGTAAAAGGCAGATTGGATAGCTGTATTTTAGCAAATGTGTTTGCACTAAGGGTACCTTCTGTTGAACAGTTCTGCCCACAAGCTGTCTGTAGAATATAGAACATCTCTCGAGCATGCTTGCCACCTTGAAGCAGGGCAGTCGGGAGCAGAAAAAAAAAAAGAACAGAATGCAGAAAAAGGTGAAGAAAAAGAGAGAAATGAAGGACAGCAAGTCCAGTACCATCAATACATTTAGAAATGAGATTAGCCAAGTGCGACAATAGAATTTAAATGACACACAGAAAGACATTAAGATTGCAGTAAATAACGTACTATGGAAAATCCAGCCAGAGAGCACTTTCTGTTCAGCTTAGCTACAGAGTCAGAATGAAAGCACAGGTCGATTATTCATTTTACTGGCTCTTTTGCATTCCAGCACTATATATCTTTTAATCTTAGTGCTAATCGTTGTGTTTTTTGTTTGTTTGTTTTGTTAGTTGCTCTGAACAGTCAATGGTTACATTGCCCAGTACTGCTCTGGAGGACTCGAACTTACCAACGATGTCAAACCACAGGGGGGTGTTAGCTGGCTGCACAGACACCACCCCTACAATCTCGGTGACTCTATCGCTTTCCATGACTGTAAAGTTATAAAATGGCTCATCGAAGGTCAACGGTACAGGTGAAGGAGGTGGTTTCTTAATCCATTCAATGTGGAGGCGGGCCGTGGAGGACTTCTGAGGGCGCCCATTGTCCACTGCCTTTATCTACTCACACACGGAGAGAACAGAAAACTGTCTTAGAGCCCAGATCCTGGTGGAAGTCTCGATCTGTCACTCATATGTTGTTGGGCTGAGAGTCCTTCCTTATCACAGGGCCAGCAAGGGGAAGAAGACAATGGAGATCTGGAGAGAATGGGCTCAGGAATTGGGGAAAACAACTTGGTCACGTAGGGGGCCCACACCACATTTGCCAGAAGGTGATTTGAATCACTGCCAACCTTGCAGATGTGGAAAACTTGAAAAATAAATGGTGCACTTACAAATTTTAGTGTTTTACGGACACTAAATAGTTACATGAGTAGCAAGAGCTAATTTGATTCCTTATACCTCTGGTGGTAGTGTTGGAAAGGGAACAAAGTGCATCGCATAGACACATAGAATTGTCACATAGGGTTCCAGGAGGATAATGGGAGGGGGCGTGGGAAAGGCATCAGCCTTGCAAAATTCGTCTCAGAGGCCCTTCAGTTACGCTAACTCTGAAGAGGTGAAAGAGACCTCTCTTGGTGGAAACATGGGCTCCTCTAGCCAGTGGGGTAAGGAAGAGGGTGTTAATGACTCTTCTTTATGGTCTGATATAAGGACTGAGTAAAGCATGTTTCCTTGCTCAGATATGCAGGGTTAACAGCTGTGGTGTCCTGGATTTAAATGTGTGTGTTGGGTGGGGTGGGGGGGAATGAAGTTAAGTCCGACAAGCAGACATCAATGACAGAAATTTAAAAATCAAAATAAAAAATGGATTAAAAAATATTACATCAATAAAAACATTTTTAGGTGCAGAGCTAATAGCTATAGCCTTTAAAAACAGTGACAACTCATAGCTCCCTAATGCTATGTTCATGGATGAACACTCTGCCCCAGAAAATTCCTGTGAGATGAAGGACGCTTGAAGGTAGATGTCTTAGGTAGGGTTTCCTAGGAGCAGAGTCTGAGATAGGGATTTGTGTACAAATGGTTTCAGGAGGAAGTGTTCTCAGGAGAAAGGGAGTGAAGAAAGCAGGATGGACGGGGAAGATGCTAAGCAAGGGTGTGGTCTCAGTTGAAGTCTAACTTCAGCCTGATCCCAAAGGGAGCGCTGAATAATTGTATCAAAGTGTTGGATCCACCTGGAGGCAAGGAGGTTGGACTTTTATATCTGGTGTCAGTTAGTAGTTATTGGCTGTGGGCTGCTGGGCTGGGGTAGGAGTGTGGAACCTCTTGGGCCAAAAAGTTCAGCCAAGGATGACCCTCTGGAGAAGGGGGCAGCTGTGAGCCCTTAGCAGCCAACACTCACAACAGTTGGGGGATGTCCGCACCAGCCTGATAATGGGGATCTGGACAGGGTACCAACAGTATCCACTGCAATCCATCCAGTCCTCAAAGATTCCCATCGGCAAGTCTCACACAACTGCAACAGCACATATTACATGAGAGCTGCTAATGGTAGAAACAGGGCTGTTTTTTATTATTATTGTTATTTTCTTTTCTCTGCCCACTCTTCTGGATACATTACTGAGCAGGGAAAGGAATCCAAGTCCAGACCATAGGAGTAACAAAGATAAATAAATGCACTCTGACTATCCTTTAAAATAATAAAGGCTTGACCATTCACAGTGGACAAGGCTGAAGACTAAGAGAAGGATGGAAGATGGTGCTAACTCTTGACAGTTGTTGAGACCCTGGGAAGTGCCCATCACCTGTGAGGCTGAGCAGTCCCCCTTTGGGCATAGGCATTACAAGTCTAAAGTGGTTAGGGATGGGGAGTGCAGGCTGGCACCTTAGATATGGGAGTTTAAGCCTCTATTTGAGATGGTGCTCATGTTTGTTTTTATTTTTAATTTTCTAACAATGAAAAATTTAGTCATTTTTTACTTAAGTTTCTTCACTTTTTACAGAATGAGCCTAGCTATGATTTGTGTCTCACAATTTATACAGCTAAATTCATGTTCTAACCCATTGTCAACAATTACAAGAGTTGTTTTCTTTGGGAGATTTTCAGGACATAATGAGTGGTGGGAAGGTTATGTCACTCTGCTATTCCCCTCCCCTCAGTTTACATCTATGCTCAGTACCTTGAAGTGATCTGGGGCCACAGGAAGTGTAATTGAGTAAATGATGGAGCAGGCTGTGTACTGGGAATAGGGAGTTTGGCTGATAGGACACAACCAAAGGAAATGGCCTCACTAAGAATATCACTGAAACAGAAAGTAGCCTTCCACTGTTGTGTGGCTGCACTTTTTACCCCAGAGATTTTTTGCTTAAAAAATATACATGACTAAGAAAATAACTTCCTCCCCCGCATTAATGTTACTGAGGTTCAGAAAAATCTTACCGTTAGAATGTCATAACTCCCTGCTGTAAATTGCTTTCTGGAAGAAACCATGCCAGTCTTAGGGTCAATGAAGAACTTTCCATCATCATTCCCATCCACGATACTGTAGGAAATTTCTGCGTTGGGGCCCTCATCTCTATCAAATGCAAAAGCCCTATAAATGGGTTCTCCTCTCTTCTTCCGGTCACGTTCTGGCAGCTTGATCTGGTAGACCTTCTCTGGGAACTGGGGCTTGTTGTCATTTTCATCCAAAACCTGAACCACCACCCAAATGGTTGACTGTTTTGGAGAGAAACCACCATCTGTCACAGTTACCTGAGTTTTGAAAGAGAAAGCATTTTACAATTAGAAAAGAGAAAAACGTTTTTCGCCACTCTTTCCCCTGCCACCCCATGAAAGGTCTATTCTGTACCTTAGGGCATCTCAACTTCTCTTATTCCTGTAGCTCATGTCAAATGCATAACTCTTCATAGTTCATCCATAAAAGCAGGGAAGGCCCTAAATCCAGTCATGGAAATCATTGCTGAAAGGGCAGGAAGGAGGCAAGGCTCTTATTGTGGTGTGGAGCGGAGAGGGAGAAGAAATAGGATTGACTTTATGAAATGTGTCAGGTTATATAGCTGTAGTAGACTTAAAATATGCTCCCCTCAACAGACACAAAAAACAATATAACCTTTATTATAGGTTAACCCATGGGTATTTCATCTAATTCTTGGGAACTGCTATCAGCATTCGAATTCCTTCAGTATTCATGTTCCTTTCTTTCTTTTCCATCTTCCTGTAAAATTTGTGATTTTTACATCGTCACCGAACAAAAGGAAAACTCTGATGTATACTTCACAATTTTGATGGCTGGTTGTAAGCACCTTTGACAGTTAAAATATGTTTTTAACAGTCACAAAATAATTTTTTTCCTCTGTGGGAAGTGGGGGGGATGGCCAACCCCTTTCCATATCTGAGATGCTATTCTTATGCGTGTCTGTGAAAATTGACAGAAGAGAGAAAAGAAGAATATGTAGATAAGGAATTTGCATGGTAGATGTAAAATGTCTTTGAGTCTTAGTGTGAATAATCTTCTTCTTGGTCATAGTGATGATAATTATTATCATATTAATACTTAATATGCAGATGGGGCCATATAAGCACTCTTCCATGTACTATCTCATTCATTTTCCAAAAACACTCTCCTCAGTAAGTGGGGCAGTTTTGTTTACTCGCATTTTGCAGGTGAGAAAACAGAGGCTTGAGGTCTCATTGTCATTAAGCCTAAAGTCAGGTATTGAACTTTTAGCAATTCTTGATATTGTGTTTAACCACAAAACCTAGAGGAACCTCTACTCAATCTTTAAATCATTACCTTGAATAAGACAGCTTATTACCTCAAAATACATATTTGGAGGCTGGAAGGAACATAAAGATGCACTCAGCATCAATAGGAGAAAAACAACAGTAAATTACAGCCTCTGGTCATCCAGTTTTCCACCTAATGAAGCAACCTGACAGGAAAAATGAGGGGAAAAAAAGGCCCAAAATGTGGAAAAACAAATTTATGGCTTTTTACAAAATGGAACTGCAATCTAGTTAGGTTTCTTTTACAAGCAGCTTAGGAGAATGGATTTAATAGACTTCAGATGAATTTTCATAGGAGTTCTTGCTTTCTTTTAAAAATCCATCACTCTGATACCAAAACCAGACAAAGATACAACAAAAAAATAAAATTACAGACCAATCTCACTGATGAATATAGATGCAAAAATGCTCAACAAAATACTAGCAAACAGAATCCAACAACACATTAAAGGATCATACACCATGATCAAGTGGGATTTATCCCAGGGATGCAAGGATTCTTCAATATACGCAAATCAATCAATGTGCTACACCATATTAACAAATTGAAGAATAAAAACCATATGATCATCTCAATAGATGCAGAAAAAGCTTTTGACAAAATTCAACACCGATTTATGATAAAAACTCTCCAGAAAGTGGGCGTAGAGGGAACCTACCTCAACACAATAAAGGCCATATACGACAAACTCAAAGCAAACATCATTCTCAATGGTGAAAAACTGAAAGCATTGCCTCTAAGATCAGGAACAAGACAAGGATGTCCACTCTCGCCACTATTATTCAACATAGTTTTGGAAGTCTTAACCATGGCAATCAGAGAAGAAAAAGAAATAAAAGGAACACAAATTGGAAAAGAAGTAAAACTGTCACTGTCTGCAGATGACCTGATACTATACATAGAGAATCCTAAAGATGCCACCAGAAAACTACTAGAGGTAATCAATGAATTTGGTAAAGCCGCAGGATACAAAATTAATGCACAGAAATCTCTTGCATTCCTATACACTAACAACGAAAGATCAGAAAAAGAAATTAAGGAAACAATCCCATTCACCACTTCAACAAAAAGAATTAAATACCTAAGAATAAACCTACCTAAGGAGGTAAAAGACCTGTACTCAGAAAACTATAAGACACTGATGAAAGAAATCAAAGATGACACAAACAGATGGAGAGATAAACCATGTTCTTGGATTAGAAGAATCAATATTGTGAAAATGACTACACCACCCAAAGCAATCTACAGATTCAGTGCAATCCCTATCAAATTACCAATGGCATTTTTTACAGAACTAGAACAAAAAGTCTTAAAATGTGTATGGAGACACAAAAGACCCCGAATAGCCAAAACAATCTTGAGGGGAAAAAAAACAGAGCTGGAGGAATCAGACTCCCTGACTTTAGACTATACTACAAAGCTACAGTAATCAAGACAATATGATACTGGCACAAAAAACAGAAATATAGATCAATGGAACAGGAGAGAAAGCCCAGAGATAAACCCACACACCTATGGTCAACTAATCTATGACAAAGGAGGCAAGGATACACAGTGGAGAGAAGACAGTCTCTTCAATAAGTAGTGCTGGGAAAACTGGACAGCTACATGTAAAAGAATGAAATTATAACACTCCCTAACACCATATACAAAAATAAACTCAAAATGGATTAAAGACTAAACGTAAGACTGGACACTACAGAACTCTTAGAGGAAAACATAGGAAGAACACTCTTTGACATAAATCACAGCAAGACCTTTTTTGACCCACCTCATATAGTAATGGAAATAAAAACAAAAATAAACAAATGGGACCTAATGAAACTTAAAAGCTTTTGCACAGCAAAGGAAACTATAAATGAGATGTAAAGAAAACCCTCAGAATGGGAGAAAATATTTGCAAACAAATCAACGGACAAAGGATTAATCTCCAAAATATATAAACAGCTCATGTAGCTCAATATTAAAAAACAAACAACCCAATCAAAAAATGGGCAGAAGACCTAAATAGACATTTCTCCAAAGAAGACATACAGATGGCCAAGAGGCACATGATAAGCTGCTCAACATCACTAATTATTAGAGAAATGCAAATCAAAACTACCATGAGGTATCACCTCACATGGGTTAGAATGGGCATCATAAGAAAATCTACAAACAACAAATGCTGGAGAGGGTGTGGAGAAAAGGGAACCCTCTTGCACTGTTGGTGGGAATGTAAATTGATACAGCCACTATGGAGAACAGTATGGAGGTTCCTTAAAAAACTAAAAATAGAATTATCATATGAACCAGCAATCCCACTACTGGGCATATACCCTGAGAAAACCATAGTTCAAAAAGACACATGCGTGCTTCCCTGGTGGCACAGTGGTTGAGAGTCTGCCTGCTGATGCAGGGGACACGGGTTCGTGTCCCGGTCCGGTAAGATTCCACATGCCGCAGAGCGGCTGGGCCCGTGAGCCATGGCCACTGAGCCTGTGCGTCCGGAGCCTGTGCTCCGCAATGGGAGAGGTCACGACAGTGAGAGGCCTGTGTACAGGAAAAAAAAAAAAAAAAGACACATGCACCCCAGTGTTCATTTCAGCACTATTTACAATAGCCAGGTCATGGAAGCAACCTACGTGTCCATCGACAGACAAATGGATAAAGAAGATGTGGTACATAAATAAAATGGAACATTACTCAACCATAAAAAGGAATGAAATTGGGTCATTTGTAGAGACGTGGATGGACCCAGACTATTATACAGAGTGAAGTAAGTCAGAAAGAGAAAAACAAATATCGCATATTAACGCATATATGTGGAATCTAGAAAAATGGTACAGATGAACCGGTTTTTAGGGCAGAAATAGAGACACAGATGTAGAGAACAAATGCATGGACAGCAAGGGGGGAAAGTGTGTGTGTGGGGGGGATGAACTGGGAGGTTGGGATTGACATATATACACTAATATGTATGAAATAGATAACTAATAAGAACCTTCTGTGTAAAAAAAAGAAAAATCCATCTAGTTTCCTTCCAAGGTTATTTTCCCAATTGGTTTGTTATGTTTTACAAAAGAAACACGTCAGGCCATTAGGTGCCAAGGCTGGATTTTGACTCTTGAGCTAATTCTTGGACATGGTAATTTCTGGAGAGGCATGTTTTACTGCTGCTGCTGAACTAAAATGTTATACTCCCAGGTGAGCTGTGTTGACCAAAACATGTTGATTTCTTGGCTGCTCAACTCCTCTGCCTCTCTTTACTGCTTGAACGGCTCCTTTTCCAAATCCAGACAACTCTCGCTGTCTTTACCGTGCACAAAATCACCTCCTCATTGCTTGTCAACAAACTCCCTGCAGTGGGCTCCGAGGTGGAGCCCTGGGGCTGCCTCAGGGCCAGGTGGCTGCCAAGGAACAGAGAGGCCCTCCTGGCTGCAGTTCACTGCTCACCTGAGGATTCTGCTGCTATAAAGGTGCTTCCTTTCAGGGTTGACCTGGATTTAAAAACCCAGGTCCTCGAGGTATCTGCTTATAGGCAGGGAAGGGTGGCAGCTGCAGAGGCTCATGAAGCAGCCTCCGTGCATGAGATGGGAAGCAGGCACACCTACATCACCGCCTCACCCTGGGTACCAGCTCTCATGCTCCCTCAGGCCACGTGGGCATCCTTCAGGTGCTCCAACACAGTGTCTTCCATCTCAGGGCATTTGCACATGCCGTCCTCTCCCCCTCCCTTCACTGGATCTTGCCTACTTATCCTTTGGATCTAGCTGAAATGCCATTTCCTCAGAGACGCCTCCTTGACCTCATAGACCAAGTGACGGCCCCCCACTCTCTCCACCTCCTGAATTATGTACTCTTAATTCACCCTATAGTTTTCTTTTGCAACACTTACGGTTATGGAAATTAATTAAATACATGGTTCTCCACCAAGCTGATAGGCTGCATAAGGGCAAAAACAGATTTTGCCTTTTTGTTCACT